AGTTCAAAATAAGTACAATAAAAAAAAATAAATAAATAAACAATTTCAAAAAAATACAATATACTGCTTCCTGAATAAATAATTATGTCGCATAGGAAAATAAAATTCACAGCTGTCGCTAAACGTCGCATTGGGCACGTCAAGAATGAGATAGGACCTTCAGAATCTAACTGAAAAAATGCATTCCAAAAAAATAATGGTTAGTGCTTTTGACCTACTAGAGCAACCTCTAATTTTATTTTCCATTCAAGGAAACGTTAATTAGATATTAACAAAAAACAAGGTTTGCGCTCGATAAACCTGAAATATTCAAACATATTCCGATTAAGGTTTTCTTAGAATTATAATTTTATGTATTTTATTATATTTTTAATTGAAACGGTTCATGGTTGACATCATGTTTTTCGAACGGTTATTTTTCTGCAGAATTCGATTTGAAGTTTTTTTGTTCTGCAAGAAATATTTATTTTATTTATTTACAAAAGATATTATGACGTAAAAGTAGTTGCCCGATTTCATCTAAATAGATTCAGCAAAAAGAAGAAAAAATTAGATAAAAATTTTGTTTTGCATCAATTTGAAATAAGGAGAAATGAGGTATTAACGGGGAAAAATGAAATTTTTTTTTTGTTTTGTTTATTTTTCAGGATGTTTTATTATTATAATTATTAAGGAATGAAAGGAACGCTGAGTAAGAAAAAGAGAATAACGCCAAAACTGCCACGATAATTCCTGGATTTTTCGAATCCCGAAAAAAAAAGAAAGAAAAAAGCACCAAAGGAAAGGCACGAAAAAAAATCCCTAAAATGGGCACGGGAAAAGAAGCACTTATTTGAGTTTAGTGAACAATTTAAAACAGGCTGTTAAGTACCATTTTAATGTAATTAAGTAGATTAATTTGCATATCTAATTTTGACTAAAGTGTTTGTAATATACATTTTTTTCAATTTTATGTTATGAAAAGCGTTGCAGGTGGCTAATTTTTGAGGGGGACGAAATTAAAATACACAGTAAACTAGCTTTTTATATTTCACTCACAGAAAAAAATCTTAAATCTGAAAAATAACTGTAAAAATATTAATTTATTTTTTATTTTTAATTTTAATTAATTTAAATCAATAAGGGTTAATTATATTTTTTTTTATAACCGTCGTTGAACAGCCGACCCGATTTTGGGTTTACGACTACTGACAGGGTGCGTAGCGTTTTTAAAAAGTGCTTAAAGGTGCTTATTTTCAATTTTCGTTATTTATAAACCCTTAAAGTTGGTTTTTTCATTGTGTGTTTTTAAAAAGTGCTTAATTTTCCCTTTTTTTAAAATGAGATTTTTCCTTTACCATGTTGATTTTCGCTCCGAATTCTGCAAAAAGACGCAGTTCACATTGTTCTATTCAACGTTTTCACAATTCCTTCAACCCCAATCTATTTCGGCGCATTGTCAGTCCGTAGCGTATGAAAACACGATTCGTTTCACAGGATTCAAAATTTCATGATTTTTGACAATTGTCAAAAACGCCAAAAGTTTTTTTTTTTCTTTCTATTTTGATATGATGGTTAAAACAAGGTAAAACCGTCAATTGTTAAAAGCTTTCCAATCCTGCCTAATTACGATATTTTTTTAAAGATCTTAAAAATATTTTTTGAGTGCTTGAAAAGTGTTTAAAAGGTGCTTATTTTTTGTTGAATAATTTTCTACGCACCCTGACTAATGTTCAACTCCGTAGGCTTGTAATTTTGAACCAAATCCAGAAGACAAGGGACTTCCTGGATCAAGTATTGTGAGAAATTCAGCCATCGTGGAGGATTTTTTGATGGAACTAACCCGCATTTGAGTTACATGGAGAGAAAAACCACGAAAACCTCCCACGGTTAGCCTAACGGCAAGGGTACTCTAACCCATGATCCGTCTACCACTGAGGTTATTTCACGTCCGCATTGTGGTAGGTGAGAGCCGGATGCGGAATTCGTATTGACCAGCCATCACTTTGATTCGAACCCGGATCACTTCATTGGAAGGCGAACGATTTATTTATTCCCTGAGCCATTGCGGCTCTATTAATGGTTAATGAAAGTTTTCTACAGCAAGAGGACTCTCAGGGCCCGACATAGGGACCTGGGGCAAAAGCTTCTTTGGGGGCCCCCCTCCGCTCACTACTTCAGAAATGAAGAACCGAACTTTATGGAGGTATTTAAATTTTTCACCTCATTATAGATAACAAGAAAATTAACTAGAATTGAATAGCTATGAAGTCCAGACGAAATATCGTTCAGTCGATTTTATTTATTTTCTGACAATTCTATGTCCATCATGCCAAATGCAGTTTCCTGACTTTGTCATCTAGATGTGAAAAATTCAAACCCTTTCTGACATTTGGGCGGAATTCAGCTAAATTTTCGCAATTACGATGTCTCAACTAAGCCCGCCAGAAGCCTGTATTTTTGTAAACATATCGCAGTTTGAAATATGTAAAAATACAGGATTTTGATTGGCTAAATTTGACAGTCGTAATTGCGAAAATTTAGCTGAATTCCGCCCTAAAATGCCATGGATTTACGAAATATAGATCTAGATGTGAAAAATTCAAATCCTTGCTGACATTTGGGCGGAATTCAGCTACATTTTCGCAATTACGATGTCTCAACTAAGCCCGCCAGAAGCTTGTATTTTTGTAAGATATGTAAAAATACAGGATTTTGATTGGCCAAATTTGACCATCGTAATTGCGAAAATAAGCAAAATTTAAAACTTAAATGCTGATCATATTGCTAATTGCATCAAAGCTAAAAGAAATCTATAGGATGCTAACTCATGGTGGTGATGCTGAAATAGAGCTTGTAGACAGCATGAATGCTTTTTCAAAGGGCATTGAATTCAGGTAAAAATAACTCAAAGCAGTTAAACACCACTGTGCTCTTCTGATTTTGNTGGCAAATTCTGTTTCACTTCCTTTGGTTATTTCAACATTTTAAGTTTTGAGAAAAGGGAGTGTATGGTTTACTCTAGGTTTACTTAAAGTTTCAAATGGTGAAAAAATGTTTTCAAAATGCAGAAAAACTTTGAGAGATTGAGACTTCCTACAGCGTGATTAGGAGTAATTTAATAATTAATTTGTATTTTGATACTGTAAAGAGGTTTAAAAAAAAATCAGTTTTTGAAACTTATTTTCCATTATTTCATACGTAGTTGAAAGAGAATTTGCTATGAAGTGTTTCTCCCAAAGTATAGCGTCCTCTTAATAGCATTTTGTAAAATAGCATACGAAGTGCAAAAAGTTCCTTTCCTGTATATTAATTAATTTTTAAAAAATATCTAAAATCATTTGAATAAAATTTAAATACATTAAAATGTTTCTCAATGGCCCAGAATCAAATTGGTTGTTATATTCATGAAATTTTTAAGCAGTGCTTTTTTCTTCTGTGTTCAAAACAAAAAAAAAAACTTTTTCTCTTCTTTTTCCCTTCTCTCCAGGTTTCGAATAATTTAAGTTCTTAATAACGAGGTAAATATTTCAAGGAAAACTTATTTCTGTTAAAAATAATTGTAAAAATGCAAGTTCATAAATTGCTTATAAAATATAAATACATAGAATTTGATCAATCAGTGTAAGAGTCGTTCAAAAATTACGTAACCGTGCTTTTTGTAATTTTGGACTCATCTGTCAGCAGAAATGCGCACTCTCTTTCGCTTACATAAGAAAAAGCAACCCCCTGGTTTTTGTTTTAACTTTTATGTTTGTAATCTAATTTTAGGATTAAATTCAAATAAACGACGTAACTTTGCATGAAACAAAATTTTTGTTTCAATTCATTCTATAAAGGATTGAGCAAAATATTCGTTAGAAATTTTTTATGTTTTCCTTTGTGGTTAAACTTCTAGAAGAATTTTCTTTTTTCAAAACCTTTCCTTCCTTCAACCTAACTGTAATTTCAAATTTGTAATTTTGCCATAAGTAAGTTTTTTAAATTTAAAAATATTTCGAAAATAATGCGATTTTAATTTCTTACGAAAGCACCGCTTATAACACTTCTCCCTCCTTATCAGCAAACCATAATCCCTATCCCCCATCAAGTGCTTACGTAAAACTTTAACGTCTTTATAAATTCTTTTTATTTATTAAATATTATCGTTCAAATAAAACTATTAACTAACGTTGTTGTGGGTTATTTACGTCGCACTAAAACTGCACAATGGACTATTGGCGACGGTCTGGGAAACATTCCTGAGGATGATCCAACGACATGCCATCACAATTTTGATCCTCTGCAGAGGGGGTGGCACCCCCGCTTCGGTAGCCAGACGACCTGCACGTGAAGTCGAGCACTTTACGGTAGAACAGTTTAACGAGGACCAATACCGCACACCCTCAGTCCCTACGCAGACTGATCCAAATGGTCCCTCACCCGCACACTGACCGCAGCCAGTGATGCTTGACTTCGGGGATCTGCTGGGAATCGTGTCTTAACGATCAGTCCACTGCGGGACAAACTATTAACTAAATAAAATTCATCCAAGTTGCAGAGAAAGAAAGGGTTAAAAATTAACAACACCCATTAACAGTTTACTTTCTTACGATGAATGAAAATAAAACGCTTATCGAACACTATAAATAAAGATGTTACAATTGCAATAAAAAAATTAAAAACTGTTAAGAATGGTTATCAAAAACAAAGCAAGCGTTGCGGAAAGAAAAAGGGTTAAAGTTAACATCAAATTGCCCAATTTCCTCCAGTTTGCCGGCTCCATTGTGCGCCAAACGATTTCCTCCCACACAAAATAATCGCTCACATTGGCGAACACAGGCAGCCGAAGTCCTTATTTAAAAAAGAAAATATAAAAAAAATAACTGTATTATTATTATTAAAAAAAAACAGCTATCAATAGAAAGAAAAAAAAATAGAAAAAGGCGTTACACTAGCCGGCCACATACAACCAAACAAGCATCAGTATTCCTTTTTCCCATACCTTTCTCTATAGTAATTTGACGGAGGGGAGGAGGTGGTATTCTTTGTAGAGAATCGTGACCCGAAGCTTGCGCACGCACGTTCGAATCTGACTGTGGGAACGTTTCGCGGCCGTCGTTCTCACACGAGGCGGCGGTGCGCCTGCCTGACCCCTGCCGCCACACATAAATAGGTGCGCGGCTTTCTCACGCGCCTTCGCATCCCCCCGTCCACCCTGATATCGTCTGCACTTGTTGATTACGTGAGAGCGCACGTGAAAAGGGGAGGTGGGTGTCCAGATGGAATAGCGGGGAGGGAAGGGGACAGATCATTCCGTTAGTTTATGTGTGTGTCCGCGCGCAGAACCGAATATCCATACACAACACCGTGTGACGGGGTTTGGGAAAAAGTTGCGCAGCAGCTGACTTTCTTTTTTTTGTATTAAAATTTAACTGTTGTAATTTTTTTTTTTGTTCGTGTTTTGGTTATACCCCCTCCTCCACTACTTTCGGATTCGGAACAAATTATGAATTCGATTTCAGTTTGTGTTTTGATGTTGAAGTGAGTAGTGCACTTGATCTCTCATCTCTTTGCAACTCATAAGGATTACACATTGCTTGCTCTTATACTATACAGATTAATGCTATTGATTTGTTAGCATAAATAATTATTGGAACAATTATTTAATTATCTGTTTCTTCATTTAAACAATCAATCTGGAATATCACCCGTGTGTCACAATGCCGGCAGAACGGCCACCCTCGAAGGCTAGTGAGAATAGAAGGGTAAGCATTGACTTGAACATAAATTTGTTTAATTGAGGTCATTATTATATTTTACAATATGTTTTAATTTTAAAGACTGGTAGCTATCGGGGAATTTTTTTTGGTTTAAATATCAAAACATCGCTAATTGGCTGGTAAGAGGAGATTATTTTTTGGTTTTAAATTTTACTTCAAATGATTAAAAATTGTGCACATGTGCTGGGGTTAAAATATCCTGGACGCCACTGCGCCTAAAATTGGTAATTGGTGCAAAAATTAATAACTTTTTTTTAAATCTAAAAACACTTTTATATAAAAAAAATAAATGAATAAAACTTAAGAAAAATCAGTTTTTGTGGGCTGCGGGCTTCAAAAAATGTCGATTTCATGAATAAAAGAAAATAAGTTAGGAAAGAGAAGAAGATATTTAAATTTCATAAACTTAAAATGGAAGAGCTTAGACTATTTGATTTCAAATTAATTTTCTTTTTCTAACTTATTCAAGATTTTGATTATGATTGAACTATGACTTTTTGAAATAAATAGAAGAACTTTGGGTAATATAATGATAAGCCACCGTTTTTAGTGGATCAGAAAAACATTCGAGGAAATTTTTGTTGTATGTATAAGGAAACAATACTAAGGTACAGAGTCGTGTAAAAAGAACTTTCCACCCTTAGTCAAAATGTCATTACTATATTGACTCGAATCCTTCAATTCTTGTGATACAATCAATCGCGCAAAATTTGTCAATTAAATCCAGACATATGAATTCAAAATTTTCTTTAAAAAAAGTGACGAAAACACGCTTTTAATTGCATTAATTAATAGATTTCTATATTTAAACTTAGTCTCATTCAAATTACAAATATTGCTTATTGTATCATTATACTATGTATAAATATGAACTGTCATTCAAATATATCAGTTCTTCTATTTATTTCATTTTTTATTTTCCCAGTTGATACTTTTTTTTTTAAATATACATTGTCTTCCTTTTGGTGATTTTTTGCTATGAAAATATTCTTTACTTCATTCATAAAAAACATAGTCAATATAATAACTGCGGATTATAAATATAACTGGATAATTCTACACCAATTTTTTTATTTTATAGAATCATTTACCTAATATCTTTTATTTATTTATTTTTTTCATTAAGATATTTTCTTAAATTAAGTAGGAAATATAACATCAAGATTTGATAAATACTAATTAGCGAAACGATAATTCAATCACACAAATATGTATTACACAAAATGAACGAATAACATTTATTCTAATTTTGACGATGTATTTATGTGGGCAATTTTTGCTAAGTGAAACCCTTTTCCTCAGGTGTAAGGTTCATTTATACTTTAACATTTCCTCACTAGATGTCACCACTAAAATTCCTAAAGGAGTTCACTTGCTGCATAATTTTTTTAAAAATCTTTTTTAAGAATTAAAACAATAGAAATCAAGCTCACAATTTATTCGAAAATATATTATGCCTACTGTCCAGTTTGAAATAATTTTTTTATTTTTTAAATGAAATACTTTCTTAATTAAATGACATGTAACATTGTTTCTGAATGAATACAATGTTACAACATTTGTATTAATAAATACTATATATCTAGTGTATATTATGTATATTTTCCTTTCATGTACAAACATAGATTTGTATGGTACTATTTTATATGGTATAATGCACATTGAAAATATTCAATCATTGTAAATACCAACACCTAATCTTTTTTGTAAGTCAAGATTCATAACCATTAAAAAAGAACAAATTATTTAAAATAAATAGAAAATTTATTTAAAAAAAAACTATACAGTAGGAATTATTTACGATTTCAAAAATAAATTTATTTTTCATTGCTAGTAAAGTATTTCAAAACCAAAGAAAATTGTAATACATAATAAACATATCTCGAGTTAGAATTTTAGTTTGATTTTTGAAAGAAGAATAAATTGGCTAAATTACATTTTGTGTACGATTGTTTTTTCTTTTTTTCAAATTGTTTGATATGGTTTCCATAATGCAAGTGATCTTTATTTTAATGTACTGCAAAATACGATTTTTTTTTTTTAATCATGGCATTCTTGTTGATATGCAGAATAACGCAAAATTTAATTTACGTTAATTAAATTTAATTTCATAAAATTAAATTTAATTTCAAACATATGATGGCATAATTTGATTTTATTTGAACCTCAAAGGTCTTAGTAAAAGAAATCGAAATCAGCATTGAAAAATACGAACATAATAACTCGAAATCGGAAAGGGAATAAAAGTTATTGAATTGATTTGATAAGTTTATAATTATTTTAATCAACTAGGGTTAAGCACATCTGACATCATGTGAATTGTGTTCATCATGAAAAATGTGCACATTTAATTACATAAAGTAGTCCCAGGAGTAAATATTTCTTCGTAAAACTAAAACTTTAAAAAAACATTATTATTATTATTATTTTTTTAGTTGAAAATATTTCCGAAAGTTGAAAAGTTAAGTAAATTATTAAATAGCTTACTTATTATTTAGTTGATGCATAATATATGCTTTAGTTTAGTTGCCTGATTCATAAAATAACGGGATTTCATTTTTGAATCTAGAAAATGTAATTTCGCAAGACTAGTTTTTTAAGTATACAAGTAAAAAAAATTATGTTTCCAATAAAAAGAGTTTTATCATATCCTATATCAACTGCTTCCAATTTTTTTCCGGATTAATGATCGACCACCTTTCGGAGAAATCTCGTATTAATAAACCAAATATATAAAGACAATTGTGAATGCATTAGCCAATTAAAGACTACTTTATTTGAAAAATATTTGAGTAGATTAATATTTCTTATATATATCATCAATAATCATAAATTTAGTTTCATGTCCTTTGCAGTTCTGGATCTAAATTTAATCTAGTTATGAATTTGTTTTTGGTGCATATGCTGGAATAATGAATAAAGTAACCCGAAAAACAGCAGCAATAAACGTTGGAAATTTTTATTAGGAAAGCATATTTCTCTAACGGATTTAGATATATTATGTTAATTTGAAAAGCAGAGTGGAAAATTTTATTGTAATTTGAATATTGTAATTAATAAATTGTAATTTAAATATTTATTTTTTTAAAAAAAGAAACTTGCTTTTTTTATTGGCATTTTACTTAAAGAAATTATGCAAAGGCAACAGGTAAATGTAATTTCAGGTTACGGAAATGTTAAAAAAAAAAAGAAGAAGAAATCTTAAGTCGTGAAAATTCTTAAACTTTTCCACGGAACCCTCGGGTTCATTGGAGTACCATTTGGGAACTGCTGTTCTATATCACACGTTTATATTTTACTTCCATTTATGTGTAGCATCCCCTGTTATACATATTTGAAGTTTATTAAAACAAACAAAATGTTCAACAAAAAAAAGAAAAAATTATTTTTGCCTTGTCAACTATCGTCCTTCTAATAAAGAAGCCTCTAACATGAAGAAAGAAAAAAAGCTTGTAAATTTCTGACAGAGACGTATTTCAATTATTATTCTTGTTGGACGCCTTTTGTCATTTCTTTTTTTCACTCACAACCCATAAATTTCCTTGTCGCACAAAGCGTTCCCACAATTATGTATTCTCTTAACCTATATATCCTTCGTCAACTTCCTTGAGCACGACATCCCCGAAGATTACGAACGCTTCTGTGTCCCCGAGGCTGACAAAAAATGACAGTTGATGCAACATCCAAATCCTGCTACACTTTTTCAACGAATTAAGTTTTTTTTCTTCTTCCAAACAGTGATTAGTCACATTAATTGAAGCTTCTCTTGTTTTCGTATTCTGAACGGAAATCGAAACCAGATTGAGGAGAGGGTTAAGAAAAACGGATTTTCCTTAAACCACTTTTTAATATATTGTTATAGATATTTTAATATGTTATACTTTAGTATAATATAGAATTTTTACTTAAATATAAAATAGATAATACATTACCAAGTCAATATACCAATTCAACATGAATAAGATTTCAGTTGGTGGTTTGACTCATGACTAGTGCATTCAGCATGTGAAATACACGTTTACCTTCAATTAGTGTAACGCTGAGTTTTTAATTTAACTTTATCATTCAAGGCAAATGTAGATTTAGTTTAAACCCGATACATTACACTCGGGTTTTCTTATACGTAATCGATTCAATTCAGTATACCAATTTACGATAAACAAGAGTTTAAGTTGATGGTCTGATTCATGAATGAAGCAGTGTCTTTTCATTCAGTAGATGAACTTCACGTATTTGAATCGACGGCCAACTACTGGCAAATTCAAAATTCATTATTTAACTCCTATTCAAGGCAAATCCAGATTTAATTTAATTTCGATACGTTAAACTTAAATTTTCTCCTTTTTTTTTTAGTTGGTTGCTTAATGTATCAGTAATATATTTTTTACTTTAGAAACAAACAGTAATGTTAGACTGTAATAGTGCGTGGTTTGTGTCACGATTAATTTATAGTCCCTTGATTTTATAACAAATCGTGAATTTTTATTATACGTTACTGAATAAATAAAAACTTAGATTTTACTATCAAAATCATAAAAAATGAAAGAAAAAGAGTTTGTTTAAATATAGATTGTAGCTAAGGCTTTTTTCTTTTAAAAAAACCCCTCAATTTTGATTACAATTAAAGTGAATATAGAATTTAATAGTTCATAAACCAGAAATTGACTATACTGCGACGATAAAAGTAAACTACATAATATACTCTAGATAAACTCATCATAGGGAGCTATTGATCAGGTCTGGTAAAAAAAAATGAAGACAAAATAATTAAATATCCAAAAAAATCTTACTATCCAATGATGGCTCACAGTTTCCATTTCTGGCTTTTGCACGAATTAACTGTAACAAACGTGTGATTTGAGTAGCTCAGAAGTCATGGGACTCATTGATTTGAATGTGAGGTTTACATAATATTGATAAATTGATTATTAATCAAATCTTACGAAAATTGAGCAGTACACAGTGATTTTTTCTATCTAATAACTGGCGCAGTGCATCTATTTCTGGTTCTTCACCAATTAATTCTGACAAGTCAACTCATCAGACTTAATTTAAATGTGGGATTTAATAGTAAAAAGGTGCATAAACAGTCATGATTTTCATCTGTCATAGTTTATCTAACGAAGCCAAGCTGCTTGAGGAATCAGTTTACCTAAGCATAGTATAACCGACGCAAATTATGCTTAATAATTTAAACTTAATGTAACATCAACTTTAATGCTAATTTATCACTTGAACATAAAGCTTTCGGAATAATAATTCATCTAAATTCTTAAATCTTAAAAGTATTAAGTGTTTCTTCTGTATTTAAAATGGAAGCCTTTGAGATATTGTTCGAATTTATAGTCTGCACAAATATTTTACTTATGATTATAACACTATTTTAAGTATATATCAATATTTTTAAAAAAATTCTTACTATCTTGCGAAGTTTAAAATAAAACAGTTTCACTGCAAACTATATTTTTATTTTGAAACTGTAGACAAAGAGAAATTGTAATAATAAGAAGGAAAAAAAGCATTTTTATCTAAAATTGTTTTAAAGCAATAATAACTTCAGTTGCTTCATGAAATTTTTTATATTTTAGGCGACGAAACCAATTATGGAAAAACGAAGACGAGCACGCATCAACCAGTGTCTGTCTGAATTGAAAACTCTTATTTTGGATGCATTAAACAAAGATGTAAGTATCTATGTTTATCATATTACAATTATAAAACAACAAAATTTAAATTAAACTATTACTAATTATTATTTAAATCTTATAGCTTTCTTATTAAAATTATTCACGACTTAGTCATAACTGCCATACCTTAACCATTTTATCTTGAAATATGTGTCTACGTTTAACTACTTCTAACGAATATTAATCCATGTCAAAGTTTTAAAAGGACAGGTGTTAGCTGTTTATCATTAATAGTAAGAGCAGATGCTCGTCGTTTTATTAGTTAATTCCGGGTGAACGAACCTGTTTTCGATGTTATCATCAATGGTGTTCGACCTGGGGGCGAATAATGGCCCTTGAGTAGATAACGAAATTTTAACATGTATGTTAGCTTGGTATTTCTTGTTGACATAAGAGTGTCTAGACTGAAGACACTATTCAATTTTGTTTTGATTCAAATAGCGTGCCATTTAAGTGCATTTAAAATCTAATAAACTGCGTACCAGAGGGTACGTGGTTGCAAAGTTGATTAAAGGCATTGTTTCTTTTTAATCTAAAAACAAATATAATGCGTAATGAGAGGTTATTTTTCTTAAGCTGTGTACTCTATTACAAATTTCATTTGTGATCAGTAGCAAAAAAAATTGCTTTTATGAAACTTGTTATTTCTTAGGGTTTTCAAAAGTCAAATTAATTAAATGGACATCGTTTTTCAAATTAGCAATTGAAATAAGAAGGTTTTTGACTTCTAGGAAAAATAGTTTACTATATCGCACCCCGGCAAGAAAAGTGACACAAGTCAAAAAACTGCAATTTTGAGGTTATGTCAATAAAAAATATGTATAAAGTGCTCCATCAAGCTCATAAAGTGATACATCTCTAACTCGCAATTTATTCAGCTGAGGGCAGTTTTATCAGTTTTGTGCCTGTTCCAGATTAAGTTTTATAGTATTCTTTTAGATGATTTTTCTCCAATGCTGCATTTTAGAGTTATGACACTGTTCTTGCCGGGGTGCGATATATATATACCGTTTTCAGATTCCTATTTGTGACAAAAAATTCTACTGTATAGAATATTTTCAAATGTTCAATATGAATTTCTAATGTACCTTAATTTTTTTTCCAGCCTTCCCGCCACTCTAAGCTAGAAAAAGCAGATATATTAGAAATGACGGTTAGACACTTGCAAAATATACAAAGGCAACAGATGGCAAGTAAGTACCGAAAATTATTGTTAGTTATTATTAAGAACCTGCTCCGTGATTAAAATTAAAGCTTTCCATTATAATTCCACAACTAAAGAATTTAATTTTTCTTTACAGCTGCCATATCAACTGATTCATCTGTTCTCAACAAGTTCAAAGCTGGTTTCAACGAGTGTGCAACCGAGGTGACACGTTACGTAAACCGAATAGAAGGTGTGGATCCTGGTTTACGACAGCGTCTTGTCTCCCACTTATCGAATTGCTTAACCACCATGAACACTGCCTCTCATTTCCAGCAGCAGCAGCACCCATCCAACCTCACCTTCAACAGCTCCCTCCCTGGCATGTTACAATCTCTCAGTGTCCAAATCCCAGGCGGTCTGGGCATCATGCCAGCTAACCGTTCCTCGTCCGGTGACATCAACAACAACTCTTCACCGAGTGCACAAGGTGGCAAAATGTTTACTGGACTCTCAGTCATTCCTAGTCGGTTGCCAAACGGTGAATTCGCATTCCTGCTTCCAAGTCAGTCCATTCCGAGTTCTGGATCGATGTCCTTTCACCTACCCTCTGTAAGTGCATCGTCCAGTCTCCCATCTTCTTCTGGTCCGGACAGGAACAGCCAATCCTCTTGGCCACCTACTTCCCCATCCTCTAAAAGATCGGCAAGTCCAGATGCCATGTCTGAGGATAATATTGTTCTCAGCCCAACGTGCAGCGACGCTGGTTCTGATGTTTTTATTGAACCTTACCATCACTCAAAACATCATCATGCGCACATGCAACCATTTAAGGAGATGGTACTGGCTCCTGTACCTCGGCCAGTACACCGATCTTCACCCATGAAGGACAGAAATAGTCAGTTGATGCTCCGTCATCCGGAAAATGTTGAATCAGAAAATGTTTGGAGACCGTGGTGAAATGTTAACGAACGTTTTGGTTCATTCTTGTCTTCCGTTAAAATTTGTGACATATAGTGACGACTTGTAAAGTTTTTAAGGGGATGTTTTGTTTACCCAACCAATGTTATGTAAAGTGATAATCAAACGATACAAAACTTATATCCGTGAGATGAAATATTTAAATATATACTGTTACTCGTGTTTCATGTCAATTACGAATTTTTAGAAATATCAGTGGCGGAGATATAAATTTCCAATCGAGAGTTCCGGGAATTTTGAGGACCCAGGAACGAAATTCAAATATTGAGATTTTTAAGAGTGGTGAAACTTCGTAAACCCTTAGCGACCACAAAAGTTTTAAGATTGGCGACTACATCACATTCAATCAGAAAATTCGGTCTACTGCCATGTTTGGACCAAATTTTGTTTTATTCTAAGATAGAGCGTTCTTTTCGCGGTTAATTTAAGATCTTTAAGTGGTCAAGAATTATTAGCGCCTCCGCCACTGATATATTTTATCAATTAATTATTTATAAATTGAACTGCACTTCCTCACCTTATTTTAAATATTATTAATTATAGCTGCCTATTATATTTTATTTTGATAGTTTGGGCTATTTAACAAATTCAAAAAATAATTTGAAGCATGGAATTCATGAATAAGTTTTAATTCATATCTCTTTTTAGATTTTTTTTAATTATTTATTTTCTTAATAGTTAACATGGTTTTCAAAGGCAGCTATGATTAAAATATTTAACTGTGAATGTTGATTAAAACTTTTAGTTTCAGTAACTTGGTTATAATAAATATTCAATTGTAATAGTACGTATAATGATTAATATTCACATTTTTTTTTATTTCAAATAATTTAAAAAAAATAAATCTTTCAAGACTGGAATTTTTTAAATATAAATAAATAAAGGTTTTCACTTTATACTCTGAAAACCCTATAATTAGCTGTAACCTAAGTAAAATGGTAAATTGAATCATATTTTCGTAGTTCTTTAACGTGGTGGGGTTGAAGTCATAGCAAATTTGCATATCATAGTTAAATATTTAACCATTTTTTCTGAGTAGTTTGTGAAGCCTCATTTATAATTAATTATACGTACTATTACGTCTGCAATTATTTTAATGTAATGCTGTTTTGTTCATTTTTATATCACCATAACATGCCTTCAAAGATCTCATGCCGCAGTTCTTTCTAAAATAGATATGATATATATAATTTTTTAATGATTTTAATAAGATCAGATTATACTCATAGTTTATATATAATATATTTGTACATATGTAAAGATTTACTACTTTTTTTTTAGCTCTTTTGTTATATAATTGATCTCCTTTTTTTAGCATTTTGATTTGGCGAAATTATGATCTCTTGGTAATGTAAATGTTTCTGTGATGTGTAGATAAAAAAAAAAACGTATTATTACTCAAGATATGCGTACGAGCTGTCATGAAAAATATGTATTTTATGCTAATTTATAATATTTTATGAATGAAAAAGCATTTAATTATATACACATGTTTTATATATTCATTTAATTAATAGTAATTTCGAATATAAAAAGGAAACGGGTCATTTTAGATAATTATTATTAATTAATAATTATTAATTGACAATAATTATTAATTAGTTTAGTTTAAAATCTCTATGAATGTTTAAAACTATGTACCACCTTTGGAGAACTTCTCATACAAAGACTTAATACTATGTGAACTATAAAACTTAAGTAATTGTATTTATATTGTAATTGCGTTTGTTTTTTTATGATACTGAATTTGTTACTTCAGTTGGCTACCATTCAGTGCCTTAAGATTTGTATTATTTGTACATACTTACGTTAAATCTACTTTATCTGTTTTATTAATTTTGATTGTTATGTTTATAATAAAAATTATCAGTGATATTCAAAATCTGCAATCATTTATTTATTCACACAAATTCTTGCATCCACAATCGAAAGAGGTTTAAATCAAACTAATACACTCACTCTGTTGACTGTCTTTAAAGATATCAAATTTCTTTATTTAAGATAACATCCAGTTTTTTTTTCTTTCATTTTTGTGAAATTATCTGGAAAATGACTTAAAAAAAATCATTTTTGAAAATTTTTGTTTCATTGTAATGAAGTCAAAAAATGTATTAAATTTTGAGAGCAAAGCAAAAATCGCATTAGCAAATATATTTTATAAATACAGATTAATTAATATAAAATCAAACAATTATATTTTACTTTTTATTTATATATTTCAAGAAACTTACCAGTAAATGCTTACTGTCATTGAGAAGGGTAAAAGACGCTTACTTAAAAAAACTTATACCCAGAAATTAATTCCTGTAAAAAAAAATAAAAAAAATATTGCAAAATACACGTCATATTAAGCAATATTTTAGTTGTATATTGCATGATCCGATGAATCAGTTTCAAGAAGAAAAAATGTATTAAGACATAAAAATTTGCCAAGACTTCATTCTTCACACTTAAAACTAAACACCGAGTCTTTGAAGATTGAAATTTTCACCAAATAAGGTACAAATAAATCAAAGTAAAAAAAATCTACAAATAAATAAAAGTCAAAAAATTTAAGCCGATTTTAATAAAAACTAACGAATGATAAAATATTGAAATCAGGGTTAGAATAGCAGAGAAATCATTCCTTTTAGGACAAAATAGAAGGAATCTAAGATTGACTTAACACAATTGTTAAATGATAATTAATAAATGAATTTAAAACAAATAAAATTTGACGTAATACAAAAAACTAAAAAAAATACATCTAATTTTAAAAAAAACTTCTTTTATTTAATTTATTATAATTTTAAACAAAATTTTTAAATCTATGTAATTTATTGTAATATTCCATATTTTAATTTATGATATCTTTATTTTCCTAAATACATATACTTACATCTAGATGAATATGAACATATATATGAAGATGAATTATGTGTACTTATATTGTTTTCAGTTTATTGAATATTTTGTATACGATAAAACTATTTAAAAAAAATATTGCTTGATAAAATAATTGAAAAATTTTTACTTAATAAAAATTTTTTAATTGATTAAATTCAATTTAAAACTATTGGAAGGTAGTATTTCTTAGTTAATTTTACTTTAAAATTATTTTTATTTCTTTAATTTTTTTCTGATATATTTAACAATAAAACAAATAGTTTCACATATAAATTCATAATATTAGTAAATCCTAATGAAAATACTGTAAAACTATCAAAATGAGAGAGAAAAACTAAACTTAGCTTCCACTTATGTTTGAAATCAAGTTTATTTTTTCCAAAAACATATAAACTGGTAACTCTATTACTTTATTCTTAGAAATTATTTTTGAGAGACTAATGAACCATTCGTTTTCATTTTAATTGTAAATTAATAAATATAAACCAATTTATTTAAAGTTATAACATTTCAATTCTTTTTAAACTTAAAGTGGTAGCTAAAACTGAGAAATATTCACTCTTAGTTTATTTGTTACAACTAACACTTTTCACACTAAAGTCCCTTTTCTCATCACTTTGAAAAGAAGAATTTCCTCCTTTAGGCGAAACGTCTGTTAAGTGTTTTATATGTGTTAGAATTATAGGTTTTAGGCAATTTAAAACACCTATACACAGTTTCGGACACTTTTGAATTATTTTAGACATTTTTTGTCAGTATTCACTACTTATTCCACAGTTCATGCGCACCTTAAAAAAATTAAAAACTGGTATCAATTCTGTTATAAAGAAGCTGAAAATTTCTTACTATTAGCTACCACTTTCGAAATAAAATTTCTTACTATTAGCTACCACTTTCGAAATAAAATTTCATATCCTCCAGTTTCGGATTTACATCTTACACTACTCAGAGAAAATTAAATATTTGATAGCTACAAAGATAAAAATATTTTTAAAAAATTATGTTTATTTGCTACCACTTTTTAATTTTTAACAGGTGAGTATAAACCCTGCATTCTGTCTCACACCCTAACCTTCTTCAATTCCTTGAGAAGATTCTATATAGACGGAGAACCCCTTCATGGCAAATTTTGTTTCTCCAAACAAAGTTATCTAACGTTTTGAAAAAGTGAATTAAGGCAGACCTAGTACAGCGAAAATCATAAAGTTTCAAATACTAAAAACAATTTAAAATTTTAAAATGCAATCAAATTATGTGGCAGTACTACGGATTGGGGAAATATCTGCAGTTATTATTATTTATTTATTTATTATTATTATTTATTTATTTATTTTGCTGTTTCACGTCTTGAAAAAAAATTTAGTCTTAAAATTTAACTCACCTAAATTCCCTTTTCACTAAACTTTATAACACCTATGGAAATGATAAACAGAATTCGCCATTAAAAGCCTGATTTTTTTCTAAAATATCTGGTCGATATTTCGACTGGATATATTCTATTCGACTGGATATATTGTACCAATTTCTTTTTTCTTTCAATAAAACTGCTTTTTCTTTCTTCGTTTGGGTTAACCCAACAATTATTATCATATACAAAATATGATAAACTACTCGGAGAATAATTTAACCAGACTATATCTTATTACATCAAAATAATTACTGACACACCATTACCACAAATAGTCCATTAACTTGGCATATTAAGTAGAAATCTGCAACAATGCACAGAGAAATCAGTATACATGCAGATCAACCCTTTCTCTGTAATAATACGTTCCGACTGACTATTTTTATTTTACTAACTCCACCGAGAGGCATAATACCTTAGCAGATGTTACCATTATTTTATAACCGGTTCGTAAATGTTAAGTTATAGATTGGGTAGCTTACGTTACGAAGTCGGCCTCTTGACCAGGAATTAGGCAGATCGTTAAGTTTGTGCAAATGATGTCCAACACATTAATTTAACTAATCATTAAATGTTTTTTTTTCCTGAAGTAAAAGTTAAGCGTGAGAAATGTGTGTACGATTGCCGGGTGGTTATAAATTTTTTCTAAGGGGTCATACCAAATGAGATATGCATATTAATTTTATTTTCCCATAGTGGCAACTGTATCATGTTTCAAACATATTTGAATTAGAAATGAATAAGATTTTATTTATTCCAGCTTTAATGCTGAAGGAATTGCATAAGTTTTAAACAGAGAAAAAAAGTATTTTTGCTCTTTTTTTTTTAACAATAAAAAGTTATCGAATTCAAATTAAGCGTATGAGAGAGTTACATTTGAAAAAAATATTGTATGGAATTTTCATTTAAAAATTTGGATAATATATTGGATGATAGAAGCCTTAAAAAAAAAGTATATTTGCGGTCGTCACAATTTCTGCGAAAATCTAATCTACCTATCCATTTGAAATTTTACACTTTGTTTTTTATTAGGAATTACTTGATATTGAACAAGAGATTTAAAAAATTAAAATTAGCATTTTTAGAAACGAAAGAATACGATTTTTGACAAAATGCAGACCACATTTTTTTACTAAATTAAATAACCTGTAAATTTTACCAAAATATAATTAATACAATACAATAATTATTCCTTGAATTACGAGAAAACCAATTTTTCCAATTATATGACCCATTTTACCAATTGTTATGAATCAATATGGATTTAACATTCGATTCGTTGATCCGAATTTAATGTAAAAGAATATTTATTCCAAAGTAATTTGATATTTTTGAAAAAAAATTTAATTAAAAATTAGATACAAAGTTTTGTTTGCAGTTTACTGTACCGAACTTAAATTTTGTATCTTATATTGTACGTATATAATATATTTAATAGTACTGCTGCCTATAATGTATCAATTAGCAATATTCTTACAGGGGATTAACTTTGTGAGAAGCTAAAAACACTTACATAAATGATTATGATTTTTCAATTTAATGCAATTTTTTTTAATAAAATAATAACTAGTTAAAAAAAAAGTATAATTTGTATTTCCTTATATTAGAATACGAAGTGTAATTATTGAAAGTTAAAACAATATTAGAACTGCTTGAAAATCCTAATCATTTTGTTAAATAGTATGAAATGCGAAAAGTTCTTTCCCACTATCTTTTAATCAATCATTGTTTTTTTAATATTTAAAAAGATATCTAATTTCATTCAAGTAAATTTAATTACATTAAATTCTGGTTCAACGGTCGAATCCAATCTGTTATTTTGTTCATTAATAAAGAAGAAAATTTTTTCAATTGTTTTTTTCTTCTTTTTCTTTTCCCGTGCCGTTCTTTTCTATGCTTTTTCATCGTTGACTTATCGCCGCCTTGTTACATAATTTGTATTCTAAGAAAAAAAATATTCTTCGTTCTGCATCTAATTGCATGAAGAGTGCAAAATCTCAATAAAATCGTCGATGTATTAGTTTTAAAGAAATTGTATCTANTTTTTTTTTTTTTTTTTTTTTTTTTTTTTTTTTTTTTGAAAGAGATTTTGTCAGCTCTATCTCTCCTAATAAGGCTCTTTCTTAGGGTTTGTTCCAAATGACTTAAAACTTAATACTAAAAATATTTTGAATATGCCGCAGCACATGAGTTATTCCATAAACACTGAATACTAAAAATATTTTCTTAATATGCCACGATGCCTTAATATGCCTTGAATATGCCACAGCGCATGAGCTATTCCATAAACACTGAATAAATTTAAAATAAATAAATAAAATTAAAAAGTTCTTCTATAATGTTTCAAGCACTACCAACGCTTTTCATACATACTTTCTAAGATAATAATAATTATAGGATACATTAACTAACTTAACTTTTTTTTAAAGAGATTCTGTCAACCCTATCTCTCCTAATAAGGCTTCTTCTTAGGGTTCCAAATGACTTAAAACTTAATACTAAAAATATTTTGAATATGCCGCAGCACATGAGCTATTCCATAAACACTGAATACTAAAAATATTTTCTTAATATGCCACGATGCCTTG